CTATACTACAAAATTTTATTAATACAACTGCTTTTGTATTTTAAGTAAAAAATAATCCCAATCTTATTCTAAATTAGTTTGTGTAAAAAAAAAAATTGGTGATTTTCCTCTTTTGCAGCACTCAGCCCATATTATCGGCATTTCTATATCATAAAAAGTGCGACCTACACTGCCCATATTTGGTAAATCGGTAGACTGTAATGATATCATGAACTACCTGCATTACGTGAAAATTTGATATTCTTATCTGAGTTCCACACTCCACTTGTCCTTGGAGATTGTGAAGATTGTTGTAAATTAGGCTGTGGAGAGTAAACTATAGGAGTATTACTATTCCAAGCCTTATCAATAGTACTAGATGTCAATTTACTGAGAAAACATGTTTATTAGATTCGAACATAATTATAAAAGCTTAATCTAACTAAAGGCGTTCTTACCGAACAAGTTCATATCCTTCTTTATGGCGATAAGTTGCAAATTCTTGGCATTTTTTTTGGTAATCTCGCAAAGTGGTTTCAAAATTGCGATAAAACTAGAATATAAAATTTGTTAAGAAAAGATTCATAAATGTAAATAAATATTTAAATATATACTTTGATTCCTTCTTGTAAATTTGATAATATCTCTCTGAATTTTTGATAAGCCGTTTTAAATTTTTCGAGTGTTTCTGTCCTTCCAGGGTTATTCATTGCCTTATTACGTTTTTCTGTTAATTCCTGATATTTTCCCTAATAATTGTACATTTTTTTTATTAAAACAAAAAATTCATTGAAAGAACAAAAGATACTGCATTTAAATATGTACATCAATTTGGTTCAATAATTTTTCTTGATTTTCAGTTTCACGCTGCACAAATACCAAATAGTTATCATATTTTTTCATCTCTTCAATGAATAGTTCCTCAAAATGCGCCGGCTCGATTTTTATTGCAGTGCCATTGGCAGTGATTTTTGCTGCCTCTTTTTGTAGCTTAGGACCTAAAGTTTTTAATAAATTATGTTAAGCCGAAATACTACTGCAATAATTTTATTTTAACTTGTAATTTATCGATAAGGATACCAATATCATCTAGATTTGAAATTTTTTTAACTTCTTCAATAGTTTTATTACGCTCTACAATATTAGCATGAGCCTCGTTTACAAGATTTCGTAACTCGTTTTCACGACTTTTAATATCCGATTGTGTCGATGCATCAAAGGTGCTACTTGACAAAATTGTATTTTTTAAAATTTCCTATTAAAGATAATTAATTAATAAATAATAATTAAGCAATAAAGTAAAAAGATTAAAAATATTTACCCGATCAGAACCTAATAACTCAATGGGTTGGCTCCATTGCTCTAATTTATTTTGGATTGCCAAGTCACCTTTGAGTGCCTGTTGAAGAACCTGTTGATGCTTTAAACCATTATCCACCAAATCTTTATTGGCTACAATAGATTTCTTTCTTGTCCATCTTTCTCCAAACTTCTTTTCCCACTCTTCATCCTCCATGGCTTCTTGATCTAAAATGCTTAATGCCTACATGTAACAAATTTGATCGTAAATTCTCTTTGATTTTTTTAACATTCATTGAAAGTTAAGAACCAACCTCATCTATAATTTGAGTATTATTTGGTGCTGCATCTTGTATGCTATCGAACATTGCATTCAACCTTGTTATCCCACCTTCATTGCGAACATCCTGTGAATTTGCCAATATTGATTGTGGAATTACCTGGTCTTCTGTGTCCAGTGATGAATAAGGCAAATTTAGAAACTTTAATTTACTAAAATCATTGAATTGTTAGTTATTTCAGTAATTTAAACATTAATTTCACTTTAACAACTTCTTCAAACCTGTCATAGGTGATTGTTAGTTCTTGCAATTTAAGTAAGATTTCCTCCTTTACCAATCTTTCTTTACGATCAGAATATACGCTGTGAGCTTGATGAACTGCAAAAGGGACAAGTTTTACAAACAATGGAAGACCTAAAATAGATCTTTCATTCATCAAAGAAATTGGATCATTAACTTCCGGAGGAAGTGTTGGATTAGCCAGGCTTGCCCGGCCAATTGAAGCCAATGATGAAGCTGAAGGAATAGTATTTAAATATATAATATCGTTATCTTTCAAAGCACGACTTAGATTTGAAGTAACAACTGTACGCAATGACTAAAATAATAATATATTAAATGTTAAACATTATTCATAATAAATGTACTGTATAAAAATTTGCTTGTCAATTTATTAATCTAACCTCTAAATCTTTTATTACAGCTTCTCTTAAATGTTTACGTTGTTCAAATGCTCGATTCACGTATCCTTCAGCTACTCGCAATCTCGCAATTTCTTCCCCATACTTATTTTGACCAATACATTCACAAGATTTGCGAAATTCCGAAGCTGCGGCAAAATGCCACGATTTTACTTGCAAATGTGTGAGCCAGTTCTATAAATAATATAGGATTAAAAAAAATGGATTTAAAAGTTTAAAAAATGAAATAAACCATTTAACAAGTATTATAGCATACTTGGCCTAATATCTTCGACACTTCTGGATTATTTGTTGCTAATTCAAATGCTGCTTCGTAATATGCAGATACTTGACTTGCTAGTTTTGCTACATTTCCATCCTTTAATTTTTCTTAATCGAAGAGTCAATTAGGAATAAATAATGAATAAATCAAATAATGAATAATTTTGATAGAAATGAGAAGGAATGCACGCTATCTATTCACCATATACAGCTTTTTGCCAAAAACATTCTTGAGCCTGTGCTAACATAATGTTAACAAGAACATTTAAAGTCGTAGATGACATGTCCAATGTTGGTGGTA